TAGTAGAAAGTAGTTCCAATGAAAACTGTTCACAACTGAAAGCAAAAAATCTGTGTCGGGAAAACAAAAATGGATTCCAGAATACCAATATGTTCATATCTTTGCATATACATACAAACCAACACATATTCTTTATAGGCTGGAGTTGCTTGTGGCTAACTGGGCCCTAATACGTTAGTTTTTAGTGAACTCTGATTGACTGACTGAATTCATTGCCTGCACAATGACAATATACAGCAACAGACACAACCAACATATAATGTTATTAGTAAGCAAACACAGAAGGAAGTAACTGAGATTATCAGTTATTCAAAATGATCAGATCAGTTGAGAACGAACTACATATTACAGTTAATTGAAATAAAAGGCAGCTCAAAGACTACTGGGACGTTTCTTACATAAATGATTGTCCACTGAAGGTCTGGCTTTAGGCTTTACTTCTCTAGCTATTTGGTTAAAGGAAGATTGAAAAGAGTGCAAAGCGGATACAGAGTCCAGGTTCTGAAGAGAAGTGACCATCAAAAGTGTTCAAAGTATTTGATAAAAAAAAACATTGACAAAAATACAAATAGTCCTTTGCTGGGTATGTTTGTGTGTGTGCACGTGTGCTGGTTGCTGGGTGTTGACGGATCCGGCTCGCAGCGTTGGGAACTTTGAAATCTTTCAGACAGGAGGACGAGGGCTGGCTGCTGGATGGTGTCTCTGCCTGTGAGTGTGTGTGAACTTCTGAACTTACTATCTGCTTCAGACAGACATAGAGAGAGAAACTAGAGCAGCTACAGATGTGCATGTTTTTTTCATTTAGATTTCTTGTTTATGCCACAGTGGGCTTTCAATACGTTAGGTTGAAGTGACTTTGTATTTTTTTTTGGCAATATTGGACAAATTTGCAAATAACAAGTGATCAAAGAGAAACAGACAAGGAGAGAACATTTCATTGGACACAGTGGAAATAAATAGTAGTGGTAACTCCGACTGCAGACAAAAAACAACAAAACAAAATACAAATTGAATTTCAAATGGGACCGTGTGTATGTCCAAAAACAGTTGTGTGTCAGAGACACCCAGTTTGCCCAGCGGAGAGAATCACAGTGTGCAGACGCATTATGTGGAGGAACGACGTGTGCTGAAGTCAGGACAGCATGGCTGTGTGTGCATGTGCACATATACTGTGTATGTCTGTGTGCGTGTGTGTGTGTGTGTGTGTGTCTGTGAGTTCTGTCATGAGTGAAAGTAAATGTGGTATCTTGTCCACAACCTAAGACTCTCCCCTTCAAACTGGATCAAAGGAGCCATGGACAGAGTAGATGCTGTGTGTGTGTGTGTCTGTGTGTGTGTGTGTGTGTGTGTCGCACAGGGAGAGAGGGAAGAGGTGCACAGAAGCGGAAGCACAGCTGATTGACGGTCGGCATGGCGATGGAGGCGGGTTCTAGTCCTCTGAAGCGTGGGGATTGGGAGAGGAGAAGAGAAAGAGAAATAACGGGGAGAAAGGGAAGGAGAGTGAGAAAAATGGTGATGCAGCAATCAAGAGGAAGGGAAGAAAGGGTAGAAGAAGAAAAATAAGCGCATCAACGAAAAATGGTTCATTCAGAAATAGAGGAAAGAATGTGGCATAACAGAAAGAGAAATTAAGAGAAATAAGAGCATAATATATATTAAAAATGGATTTAAGCAAAGGGCCAAGAAGAAAAAAGTAGAATAAGAGGGAGAGATAAGGGGGAAAAAAGGAAGAAGGCAGGTTAGTAAAGCTGTCACAAAATCAACTGCAACTCATCTAACAAATGTCAAATACTTGACCAACATGAGAATCACCAGACTGATCTTGCTCTAAAGGCTACATGTCAGATTTGGACACTGCTCATCGTCTTATATTGGTCAAATATTTGGGGAGACATTCTATATCATATACTTTACGTCCCATGCAGAAGCGCCATGCATTGGATATGACATGCGGCATCTCAACACACAAACACAGTACACTCATACATACACACATCTGCATTTGCTATGTCAGGATTCAGCTTACGCTCTCAATTCTCTGACCCAGTTACTACTTATACCGCCTGCGTCCTCTCCCTGGGGTCAGCTGGAATAACAGTGATGAATGGATCCAAAGCACCTCGACAAGCCCAGATGCTCTATCTACTAAAGTAGGCCCACTGAAGAAAATGATATCGTGCCCCGAACTGTACTCTGATTGGAGATATAGTTTAACCAAAACTTAAACTGAGCATCCTTCCAACGGTAGGAATACACACATGCACACGTACAGCTCTGTAACCACGGTAACACAAGCTATCCATCATGCCATGCAAACAGCCAAACAGCCAAGCGGTGAACATGCCAACACAGATGCCAGATTTACATGCTGATCACTCCTCCCACTGTCACCAGCATCCATCCCACCAAGGCTTGCTGTCATCCCAATGGACCACACACAATATGGCTGTGGGCAGGTTCGACAGCTTTATCCGTCCCACAGTGCACTTGTATCCGCCGGCACACAGCTTCAGCCAGTGCCAGTTTAATTCCTTAGCAGACAATAGTTGTTTTTAATTAAAAGTCAATGCTGCCTTTTCTCTAATTTTAACCAAGCGCTCACTAAACTCAGTCAACAATTTAGGACTGCACTTCCATAAAAGGCCCTCGGGTGGGGAGCGATTCCACTGGTTGCAAAAGATGCCCGATTTTATTAAACCTTGTGAAAAAATGACTCTGCTTCTCACTTGATTTATGAGTAAAGAGTTTCCTAATGAGTGCTAATCTAAAGTTTCAAGTCCTTCTCCGTACAGCATCATTGACGCTACCCCGGCTTATGCTTGGGTTGTCAGTCAGATCCAGTCAGGGTAGAGGTGTAACAATGTGTATCTTCACCAGCTCCACCTTCTCGTCCAAGTATGGTTACTTCTGGCTCCAAGAAAAACAAGATTGCAACGGCCATAATGCTATGGCTTCGTCCACTATTTATTAGTGTATACAGTCTATGGTCGAGCTCCAAAGTATGAATGTATGGATGACTTAAACTCACAAGGGAGAGCACTAACATCGATCCACAACAGCCACACCGACAAGGCTACCTTAAGATGTGTCTGATAGGCCGATGCAGATTATCTCAAAATAAGCTAAACAATCGGCCCGATCAATTGGCTGACTAGTCTATGACTAGTCTGGATGAACTTTAAATCTCCAAAAAGGTGGTTGAGCTAAGCACCACTCAAATGTGGGTTAACCAAACACAGAAAAACCACAAACCTGATCAGACTGCCACTACTTCTGCCCTGAGTCTGTGTGCTCGAAAGTTTTGAAGGTCGGTTACTCTAGGTTTTTTGTACACGCTGTACTGTATGTGCAGCTATGGGAATTACATGTTGTGGAGGAGTGGAGCAGCGGAGGAGGCCTCACATACTAATTTATACCCCCATGCAAAATCCTTTCACTTGCTAATGACATGCACAGCAGCTCTGCAGTTTAAAATGGAACAACTGCATGACATCAAGAAAAAGTGAACCGAGGAACAGGAGTGTGTGGGGAGCAAGTATGACCAGAGACCAGACAACTGGGAAAACAAAAACTCATGAGCTGGTTTCCAAAATGTACCACACATAAACACACACTGGAAACAGCTCATCTCTCGACCTGTTTCAGTGTAGGCAGACAGCCAGAGGGGAAGACGGAGGGTTTGTTCATTAGACACGAAAAATATTCCTCTCCAGAGCTGCATCTCCTCTCTGCAGCTAATTATCTCCAAAATGAGATGACACTATAACAATGTACGAAACAAAAGGACTGCTGAATACAAGGGACTTGTGCAAATGAGCCTCAATGGCCGTGTTTAATTATTACATTTATTAAAAGGAGCGCGATTGATGTTACCAGGCCGACAATTTGACAGTCTCCTGTCGTCAATTAAGATTAATTTTCGTGCATCGATATTAACTAATTTGTGTTTCTCAACTGATTGAAAATTAAGTCTTTACTGATTAACTCTTTTGTCTTTTGTGCAGAGCTGTGGGAAGGCAGCTATGCTAAGTCGCAAAGGGTGACAATTTTATTCATAAATCTTTAGATTGATTTCTGATAAACACAGACAGGCTATACAACAAGATCCCACCTCCCTCACTAATAGAAGGTGAATAAGAATGGAAAATAAGCAGTCTACTTCATGACAGTCCATTTCAGTGTTTAAAACATATACATTTATACAATATAATGCATTGTTGAGGATATAACTACCCCAAAGCACATAAGGTAGTTAGACATAACTCGTCATTGTAAAAAAGTATACATGTGGACAGAGCTTCCGCGTCTGAAAAGTGAATTCCATTCTTTCTCATAGCCAGCAGGGGTTGCAAAAAGAAGTCTGATTGTATTGACTGTAATGACAAAATTACCTTTCTTCTCACTTGATGTATTATAAGTTTATGGTCTCAATCTCTAATTTCAAGTGTTCTTGCATACAGCATGATGATCAAACTGTCAAACTAGGCAGTTTTGATCAAATGTGAAGCAAGATTCTGTTACTGCGTTGCCTATTTCTCGCCTAAGATGTAAAAATGATTGGTATTTCTTGGTGATTTATCTGTTTTGGTTGTTTGTGGCTTAATTTCAATTTTTACCTTGACTTTTTATTATGTATTCATTTAATTGAATTTATTTTTTAAGCTTCATTGTTATGTATTTTATTATATTATATACTTTCCTTTTTCTGCCACTTGCTTTTAATCCAATAAACTATCAAACACGCACACAGCAGCCTTGTACTTAAGAGGACATTAAAAGGATGCTGGAGAGCGGTGAGAGCAGCTCACATCCTGCTCTGAAAGGCCACTTATATACTACATTACACACACACACTGAATCAACTGATGTGAAGATCAAGAAGGAAGTAAATAAGGTCGAAAGACGAGAAAAGACTAACAGGCCATGATTGGTGGATAAGGATGACCAAGCGGCCTTAGCAGACTGACCGACGGCAGAGGGAATTGTGGGATATATCTTACCAGGCTTTTGCACCCCATGAGCATCCTGCTCTCCATTCTCCAACGCAGTACCCGCGTCTACACACACACGCACAAAAACAAGCAAACACATTACTATCTGTCTAAGTGCTAAATTGCTAATGGCTTGACGAGATAGAAAATCAAACTGCATCGTATTGGTTCGTACAGCGGAAATATGACACACTGATCCTGGAATTAAATGGAAACTATTGACCCTGAAGTTTGAGGCTTTTTAAAGGGAACCTCACTATAGTCGCTGAGCACTGGGCACAAGTGTCATCCGCCTGTTAATAGCACACAGGCCCATTCTGGTCAGGCTGGGGCAGGCAGAGGGCAGCACATATTGGCTGGTGTCAGTGTGGGATGTTAGAGGAGCTGAATCTGTGTGACATCTGACCGATGAGTCACTACACTGTATTTATCTGATGTGCACAGCAGACACACGGGTAAACAAGTATGTAACACACAAAGCATATTGTGTATCAACAGCTTTACACCAAAGCTCTGACACATATACACATGCATATACATGCACAGCAATACACCCATACACCCATACACAACATTTATTTTGGTAAATGGACTGCTTTTATCCAAAATAATTCACCCATACACTCACTATCCACCCAACGATAGCAGTGAGCTACCATGCAGTGTTATTATGGATCTAACTGCTTTTCATAGCAAGACACACCCCGTTAAGCATTCAAGCACTAGGATTAACCAGGCGCCCATGCTTACACAAGTGAAAGAAATTTTAAGATCGTTTAAAAAAAAATAAAAATAATGAATCCTCTTATCCACACTTGTCACTTTTTATACAACATATATATTATAACCTTACTGCAGGTTTCCTTGCGAGCATGATCGCCAGGCCAATCCTAGAGCTTGAATGCTATGCAGGTCTAAGGGGTTCAGTTACTGTACTTTAGTCCATGTTTTAGTCCAAGGGCCGGCTGTGGCTCAGAGGCAGAGCGGGTCGTCCCCCAATCAGAAGGGTGTTGGTTCGATCCCCGGCTCCTCCTGCCACGAAGTATCCTTGAG